GTGAACGGCATTTTGGTATAGCAGAGACCATGAGACTCAAAAGATGGACGAAACCTGCATTTCATCCCCAGTTTTCTCAACACTTAACTTCTCTGAGTCTTACATCTTTTACTTTTAAAATAATCAACATGCCATACCATTCTCATGAAATTGTAGACAGCATCAAATAAGAAAATGAATGAGAAAGCACCAGCAGGATGTATGCTCTATACAAGGAGCTTAATAAATCTTTGTTTAATCTAAGTTTAACATAAACATTAAATTGTTCCTGCTCTTCTGTTTAAGGAGCACTCTCTGCCTTTTCTCCCCTTCCCAAAGTTTCTCATCAAAGTTTCTTGCTCTTCGTGTATCTTTTTATCTATTGTTTTTTAGTCAGACTGCTGTTTCAAATCTAGCGAGTTTAAGCAGAAAATGAATTTATTAAAAGGTAATAGGTCACAGAATCTGGGAGAATCAGAAGATCAGGTTTGGAAGCTGCACTTGATTGCTCCAGAGAGACCCTAAGCCACTGGCAGTTGGCAAAAGTACCTCCAGCCCCACCTCAGGATGCTGCTACTGGGATCCTTGTCACTGCTGCCTCCCTCAGCTTACCCAGAGTGGAGTCCATAGAGGGTTGAATAATTGCATCTGATTGGCAGGGCCTTTGCACCATGACTACAAGAGAAACTTGAAAGGTGAGGTTCTGACTTCTACCTTGGGAGACAGAAATCAATAGGAGAGAAATGTCGCAAATACAAGAAAGTGATGGAAGGGTCCCACATGGCCACAAAGCAGGACCATTCTCCCCAGCTCTTTGTTTTTTATAATCCCCATCAGGCAGATCATATCATGTTTACTCAGGAGTTTCTAGAAACAGAGAAGCCAAAGAAGTTCATATAATGGCATACATTTTAGGGCCAGTAACAAACCATACATTATTGATTGTCTCAGCTGTCCCCATTTCTATTTGTCACTCTCTCTGGGTATAAGAGTATGTATGAGAGTATCATACCATACAAGGATAGAACTGTATTATGTGTACAGCATATTACAGTTGGTCAATCAACAGATTGATTAAATAGCTATTGAATTCCAGAACACTTGCAAGGTACGAAAAAATGCAAATGTGAATAAGATCTGTGCCTTCCATTCTTAGAACTCACATCTGAATTAGGAAATCTGTAATGTAAACCACTAATTAGAGGCAACACGAGAAGAGTTTTAACAGAGAAGGTGCAAGGTACTGTGCCCAGATGGAACATTTAGAGATACAAGTTCTAACAGCTGTAATAGGAAACCCAAGATTAAAGGTATTGTTCAATAACACCAATATCACAAAAATATCGGTAAGTCTGTTTTGTTAAACAGGTGGCTTGAGATATGTCAATAGACTATTGTGTGATGCTGATAAGTTCAGACTTTACAGTGTGCTTTCCATTTGTATTCATATTTAAGGTTTTAGATCTTTCATTGCCTTCAAATCATTTCAAGTTCATTGTTATTCATACACTCACTGTAAAATGCAATTTTAGATCATAAAATGCCCTTGAAAATAGAAACTTCTTACTATGATACTAATGTTTGGTTTCCAGCCTTAAAACATTATAGTTTTTAATTTACATTTCTTATGTATACTCATTTAATAACCAACTTTAAATTCAGTAATCACACTCCCCCTAAGCTTTGATTAGAACAATTATAGTAAATGAAAATAAGAAAGTAATTTCTGTAAAGAGATTCATAAAGCATCCTTTCAAGCCATAAAACAGCCTTCTAAGTAGTTTTTTTTTTTCAGCATTAGGGCTACAGAAGTTATTTCTATTCTGCTTAAGATACACAGATCCAAAGCTCTTTCATTGTCTACTCATCTTCTTTGTCTGATCTCCCCTAGTACTATGAGTCTCATCAGAAGGCTTAGCATACAAAAGATGCCCAATAAATGCCATTGAATGTCTATCTGGCCCTCTTACCTAGACTGAGGAGGTACAAGCATCAGCGGAAAGTTCCCTCAAAAATAGAAACCCTCTGAACAGATAAATAGAAAAAAACAGATAACTGAATTTGTACATCTACCTCAACTTTTCTTTAGCCAGAAAGTTTCTTGGCCAATGTTTATTTTTGGTTTGCCTTAAAGAACAAGAATATACATCAGCACACACCTAAGGGAAATCTCCAGGTAGATTGCCACACCAACTTATGTTATAAATGGATTGGTAGCACATGGCTGAATGTTTTCTGTCAACTCACTACTGTACACTGAACACTGGAGATAATGTCTCCAGTTACATAATTCCCACACACTGGCATTTTAAATATAGTATTTTTTAAATGTCAATAAAAGGTATAATGGAAAAAAAAATAAAGGCTACAAATACTGTGACTAAGAGAGTTGTTGTTTTTTTTTTAATATACCTTTTACTCAATATGATCAAGCCAAGTTAAAACACTAGGCATGTTTCATAAAGGCCCATGGGCTGCAAAGGGGTCTCTACAGCTCTGGTTGGGTGAGACACAGTGCAAGTTTTTACATGTGTGGATCCCTAAACTCAGGTTCTCCTCTCTAGAAGTGGAAAGATTGAGGAAGCAGTCTTTCGCTTGTTCTTACAACTGTATTTTTTTATCCCCAAATCCCTCATTTCCCCAACACACACACGTATATGTACACTCAGACACATGCACACATGCACACACACACACACACACACACACACACACGCACAGTCACACTCACACACCAGTAAGAAAGAAAGTTTTACCACAAGTAAGGAAGACCCCAAATCACTGTGCCTTAAAGGAGACAGAATTTGTTTCTCTCTCAGATAAAAATCTGGATGTGAGCAAATTGAGCTCTGCCCCACAAAGCAGAGCTTCCATCTTGTTATGCCATCTTGTGTGATTTCCATTCCCAAGGGCATTGCTCCAGTCACCTTACCTGCATGCAAGCCAGCAGGAAGGATAAGGCAGAAAGATGGGGAAAGGGCAGAGAACAGAGCACCTGTCTTCTAAGGCAGTTTCCTAGGGCATCCATAAAGCACTTCTACTTATATCTCTTTGGCCTGAACCTAATGATGTGATCATACTCAGCCACAATGGAAGCTCAGAAGTGTCATTTTTATTTTTATAGTGTGTTCCCAACTGACCCATTTAAGTGTTATTACTGAGAAGAGAGAGGAGGAGGAATACTGGCAGATAACGAGCAAGCTGCCGTGGGGTTCCTCCCTGCCCTCCCTTCCATGATATGAAGTGTGGGGTTTCATTCTCAGAGGGATCAGGGCACATTCCTTTCCTTCTCCACTCATCCTTCACTACCTTTCTCTCTACCTCTTAATCTATCAAGAACCTTATTCTTATGTAGCCACACACACTTCTTCTGCTCAAAGAAGAAGAAAGGGGAGCTATGAGTGAAGGACAGACCAACTTTCACTACTTAAGCTACTGAGAACAGTAGTCCCCTTCTTTCCATGGTTTCAGTTATCCGAGGTCAACTTCAGTTCAAAAATATTAAATGAAAAATTCCAGAGATAAATAATTTATAAGTTTTAAATTGCACGCCCTTCTGAGTAGCGTGATGAAATCTCACACTGTCCCACTCATCCTGCTCAGGATGTGAATCGTCCCTTTGTCCATCGTATCCAAGATGAATATGCTACTGGCCCATTAGTCACTTAGTAGCCATCTGGGTTACCAGATCAACAGTCATGCGTACGTCTCATGTGCAGTGCTTGTGTGCAAGTAACCCTTATTATACTCAATAATGGCACCAGAGCACAAGAGTGATGTAGTGACGCTGGCAATTCAGATATGCCAAGGAGAAGCAGTGAGGTGCTTCCTTTAAGTGAAAAGATGTGCATATGAGTACATAGGGAAAAAACATAGTATATATAGAGTTCCATACTATCCTCAGTTTCAGACAACTCATAGGGATCTTGGAACATAATCCCCACAGATAAGGAAGGACTGCTGTACTACAAATTTGAATAGGAGGATCTGAGCCAAATGCTAATCCCCTGCTTGTGTGCTATCTAAAGTGAGACCACAGTCAGTTTTAATTGAACACAAAATCTCTGTTTGATCCTAAGCAGAATAGGGTTTTCATTTAGTAGTAAGTGGATTTTGGATTTCTTCCTGAAAGACGCTAAACTTGACTGGTTGTTCCAATATTATCTCATTCAAACAGAGGTCTGGAACAAATATTCTCTGGGGAGATACCAACTTCTGTGGTCAGCAGGATCAGTAATTTAAATACAAATGTAAGCTGCAAACATAGCCCAAGTTATCTAGGCAGTTGGTCTCACACTTACAAAGCACTAGGGTATCTTTGAAATCTCTAGTTTCAAAGAAGGGAGCAAAGTACACAGAACTGACCCCCCCAAACACACACCCACACATACCCATTCTACCTATATTTTATGTATTGGGCTACTCTATGAGGCATTGTGTATAAAAAGGTTTTGACTACTTTTAAATATTTGACCTCATTGTTCCCAGCCTGAATTCTATTTCTTGTGGGTTTGTTTCTTGTGGACATTATAGCCTTGAAATTTCTAGGCCTTTCAGGAGCTAGTAATGAAGGATAAAAAGAGAAGGGACATATGTGAACACTTCTGCTGATTTGTCATCATGACATATTTTTGCAAAACTTATTTAACTTATTTAGAAACATCACAGTGATGCTTGCAAAATAGATCCTCAATATGTCTTGATAAGTGAGATTATATTAGTAAGTACTTTTGTCTCCCTGGCAGTCACAACCTGTCTGTGTAATGGAAATAGTTTCTTCTTTTATTTAATCATTTAATTTGCTTTCTAATTCTTAAAGTTTTTTTATTGTGTGACTATATCTGTTTCCTAAAAAAAAACAAACAAAAACAACCTATGTTTCTATCTAGGTAAATATACACAAAGAAAATGATGACTGACTGACAAGACCTGGTAAGTTTGCGTATTACAGCTTCACCACAACTTTTATTGTTATCAGAATCCTCTCGGCAGTCCCACTTCATCTGTCAACTATTCCATGGGGACAGAAAAGAATGAAAGCATGTGTAATGTTCTTGCTGTTAATTATAAAAGTCCAATTCTTTTCCTTCTGATAGATCAGCTACTTAAGTAAAAATCACATCTCTAAAGGAATAGTTAGGGGTTCCATTCTAAATAAAATACTCCAAGAATTTATTTCTCTCGGCATCCGTTTCTTCATTTTCCAACTCATATTTCTTCATGGCAACAAAATAGCGAATAAAGGTTTCTCCTAGAGCGTGTCTCAGATACTGATCTTCCTCCAGTGCCACAAGCGCGTCTTCCAGTTTCAAAGGGATCTCTGAAGGCTTTGACTGATACAGCTCTGTGCTGTCATCTGGACCAGCCAAAGCACCATCACTGCTTTGAAGTCCATCCAAGCCTGCAGCAACAGTCGCGGCCAGCACCAGGTAAGGGTTTGCTGTTGCTGAACCCAGTTTATTTTCTATCCGGGTGCCTCTCTCCCCATGACACTTGATATTAAAAGCACAGCTGTTATCGTTATATCCCCATGTTGTAGGCATACTCTCCTTCTGGTCTTTCCTCTCCTTAGAATAACGTTTTCGGCAGCTCACAGCAGGAGCCATCAGGCAGCTGAGAGCAGCACAGTGCTTCAAGAGTCCTGCCAACCATTTTTTCCCAGTGACTGTGAGCTGCTCCGATCCAGAACTGCTGCAGAACATGTTTCTCTTCCCACCGAGATCCCAGAGACTATGAGACAGAATTCCTGAATTGCAGATTCCAGTCTCAATGAAAAAGCTGGTGATATAATTGTATTTCCTTGCCACTTCTTTGACACCTGTTCTGAGGGTAAACGCATTATCAGCTGCACTGATGCCAAATTCGGGCAGAAAACAGATTTCCATCTGACCAGGCCTGGTAGAAGAGGAAAAGCTCTCGACATTGGCTCCAGTGTGATACAAACCATCCACGAGTTCCTGGATGAAGGGCTGGTCATGATTATTTAGCAATGTTAAAGTAGGAAAAGATATGGTCTTTGAGTTGATAATTTCGGGGACACCAAAAATGCAAAAATCATAGATGAAGGCAGAGAGCAGGGAAAAGCCACAGTCCTGCAGCTGGTCCAGCTGCTGCTTTGCGATGTACCTGGGGGACGTCAGTAGAGGCTTACCAGTCACAGTGAATGTGTCACATATCACTCTCGCTGTTCTCTCAGCCCATGGCAAAACTCTAAAGGTTGATAACTCTGGCATGAGGACTATGTCACTATTAAAACATGTTGCTCTTATGTGATCCACTTCATTGTCCTTAGGATTCGGTATCAATTCAAGATAACCTCGGGGCATAAAAACACCATGGGTCACTTTTTCCTAAAGAAGTTAAATGACAGAGCAATTAGGTTTTGACACTTGAAAGCATACAAAAGTGGGGGGAGGAGCTTGCAAATGAGGGGGAAAAATGTGTTTCACATCTGTTGGGCAACACTAAATGTCTGATACATTTTAAATATTTTAAAATAAAACCACAAAGATGCTTTTAAAAAACAACTCAATATGTTTAGCCTCAAAGTCTTCATATGCTCTTGAGTCTGAAAATAGCAGTCATAAATAAAAGGTAGGATAATAAAGAAAATGTCTTTACAGCAAATGACAAAGGTTAAGTAAAGCTGTATGGAATTATCTGAAGTGACTGTAACCAAAAGCACTTCTTAAAGCACTTTTTATTTTATGGATAGTTCCTAATACTGCAGATAAGGCTTTCTTTGGGCTTAGTCTATTGTAATCTCCATAGTTAGCTGACACTCAAAAGTCTACAGTAAAGAATTCTCAGTCCTTCTCAGAAAGCCAACTGTAGTCAGTGCTACGACACACAGGATAGTTGTCCTAACACCAGATGAGCTAGGTCTGCTGACAGCTGCACTCTTCTCCTCATTCACTTTTACAGCCTACTTAACAATGAACTACCTCACTGACTCAGAGTCCCAGAAACCTTATCAATGTGGACCCATATCTCCAAAGTTATCATTTCCAAAATGTGGTAGCCTCCTAGCCAACATGAGCTGGGGTCACCACATCTGACTTCCTTTCCTAGCTCTTCCATGAATTACTTGTCTGGGGTTCGGCAAGTCGCTGGACTATGTGCCTCAGCTTCCATGTCTGTGAAACAAAAGTAATAAACTAGATGACTGCTAAAACACTTTCTAGCCATATACTTCTTGAGGTCAATGGATTTGGTCATTTATTTAACTTTTGCTATGTGCCAGACAATGGGGAATTGGTGAGGTTTTAAAGTCAAACAGACACATAAAACCATTTCTAGAAATTGTCCTAGGGATATCCAAAAGGCTGCATGTGTTGAAGGTTACATTAATGAATGGAGAGAAAGCTGACTATAAAGTTTGGTTCCAATGATGTCAGTGAGTGTCATGAGGTTAATAAAACATACTGACATCCTGCAAGCCAAATTGTTTCTTGCGCTGCCTCCAAATCCCAAAGAGCATGGCTACCCAAGAGAGGCTGGTGTTAGCAGAGGCAATCTACTAGTTTACTCCCCTGCCTTTGACTGTGCACCACACTCCTTCACATTCCGCCAACTCTACACGTATTTTCAAGTGCCATTTGACTTGGCTGATCCAAATCTGCTTTCACCAGTAATAAAGTTGAGTAAGTCAAGCATTATTCATATGCCTGTTTAATTTTTCAACTCACTCAAGAACCTGTCTATATAAACTTTACACACACACGCTCACACACACACACACACATTGTAGGATTTTAGAGTATTAAGCATGAAATCCTTTAATTCAGACTTTCACTATAAGAAATAATGTTATTTCCCTACTTGTCAATTCCTTAGTTTGAAAATCTGTATGTTAGTTCTGCATATATATAAAATGAGGAGTCTTATTTATGAGACTACCTAAAGTTGCTGCAGTTTAAATCTGTGTTTGTATTTACTTGGTAGTGAACAATAGAGAATAGCTTGTTATTATTTCACTCCAATAGTCCTTCACGAATTGAAAGAGTAGTAAAAAGTCATAACTTCAGGTTATTTAATCTGTATTTTTCTGAGCACTCTTTTTTAACTGTCATTTTCTTCATTCTTTTTTGGACACTCTGGATTCAAACTACTCTTTATTAGTAGTGGCAAATATATAAATACCAGGGTTGCCAAAAAATGTATACACATTTTAAGAGATGTTATCTATGCTCAAGCAGTCATTCACCATAATCAGAAGTATCTGAACGCTGATGGTAACCACATTGAGCACCTCTTGTAATTGCAGAAGTTAAACGTGACTAGTATTCTTCTTTTGTTATCAGTATATATTGAGCATTACAATTTTAATATATTAATAATAGTTTCCTTTCTTAAAATGTGTATACATTTTTTGGCACCCTCTGTATATATAAACAGATCTTGTTCATGACAATGATTGCTAGCTTAAACTGTGTTTATAAATATAAAGCAGTAGGACAACTTCACACTCCAACATAGATCACCAGGGACTCAATAGAAATTTTTACAGAATAGCTTAAATCTCTATGACAACTGAAATTTGGACCATGGTAAAGGTCACCTTTTGAAATAACCAAAGAATTGGTTATGAGTTCTACAGTGATATATCATGTTTTGACTAGATCAAAGATAGAACCTATATTATCTGCATATAATTTAAATAAACACCAATCCTTTGATAGAACAGTGATGGTATAAGTTGGTTGTTGATTTAAATAAACTAATGTTTGAAAGGCATTTAGCACAGTGCCAGGCACATGGTAAGTTCTCCAAAAGAAGTAGAAATCACTATTACCAGAGGTTTCCCATTTGGCCTTTTCCCATTATGTAACAATCTTTGCCTGTATTCTTTGTGCATGACTTGTTTTAAAAATCAATGTTTTTTTTCAATTTTACATGAAAGAATACTTAGCTACAATTAACAATAAAAGGAAATATAAAAGCTAGAGGCAAAAGGTTCAGTAAAAAAAAAAAAAAGCACTGGAAATGAAAGTGAGGATTCACTGACTGACATCCCAGCTCTACCACTAACTGCCTGTACTATTTTTAAAATGCTTTCCTTAACTTCTCTGGGCCTTGTTCCCCTAATTTATAAATGAAGAAGATGGAATACATTATCTCTTATATCCCTTTATGGTCTAACAATAATTTTCGCATTAGCATTTTATTTTCCACAAATAGAAAAACAGTTTTAAAATTATTTTATAAAGATTGAAATTACTTTTTACTAAGCTATTGGCAAATTCAAATTATTTATTTATTTTTTGGCAAATTCAAATTATTGACTCCACTCTTTGTTTAATGAATTTCCCGTAAAGTATTGCATATAGTTTAGACTGGTTTGCACAGATGGACCTATTTTTAATGTCTAGTCACAATAAAATTTCCAAAATCAATTATTTAATCTTAAATTACAAATATTCATGGTGCAAATTCCTATTTATACCTTTACAATTTCCAAATAAATTTAAATCATTTTGTTAAAAAAATATATAGATACTGTATGGTCATTAAATAAGAATAAAATAATAATAACTAGGTAATAAACGGGGTAATGAAATGTATAAGAAAACGGGGGTTAAGAATAAATACAGCAATTGAGAGGAAGTATAATGAGTTATATTAAAATATTCATGATAGACAAAATTTTCCCCTATCTAAGCTTAAAAAAAAAAGTGCTTCTTATACGTTCAAAAAGTGCTTCTTGAACAAGATAATGGAAAATATTTTCAACAGCATTTAAAAAAAGAATGCAGACATTTTCTCTTTATGTCAATTATATCAATCCTCAACAAATGGAGGGAGCATATTAAATTATATTTTCATAAAGGAGTTCCATTGAGGAACTAGAGTAAGGTTTTAAATATGTAGTTTTCAATGCCATTAGTGGAATAAATTATTAGAATTTGATAAAAGCTGAATAGCAACAGTTTTATATTGAGGTCTCTGGTAAGTGGCTGAAGTGCTAGTTATGTTTTCTTATTGACTAAAAAAAATTCATGTGAATTAAATTCTGAACCTGTCCACAATAAATTTCAGATTTTGTTATCAAAATTAACCAGCATGTATTCTTGCCTTGATAAAGAGGAAATAATATCTGCAGGTAGATCTAAAGAATTTCTTAAGAAACAAATTTGAATTTGTTGGGATTCTTTTAAAAAGTGTTTTGAAGATGCCCAGGTTTTTTTTCAAACAAAAAGCAAATGAGAAAATTATAATTTGATATTAAAGTGATAAAAGTAAGATATATTTAAAAAATAAGCTGAGAAGATGCTTAACTTTTATACTTTTGTATATAATATTGACTGATGTCTCTTCCTAAGAAATGATATTTCAGTAGCACAATAAATCAGTTATTAAAATAAATATAATACATGACATAAACTGAAAAACAATCTCGAAAATTCTCACTCAAAACATATCCCAAAATGCAGTATTTCTTGATATCACTATTTTTGAGAACTTAATATTCATTAAGTCATCCAACAACAATAGGGTATTTTCTTATCAGAATTAGAAGCTAAAAGAGATATGCTTTTTATCTAACCAATTCTTTCTATTTAATTATTTTTTTTTATATTTGCTCTTGGGTCTTCTGTTGCAATTTTCTCATGTCAAACAAAATATAATCTTCATAACTGCAGTAAAATTAAAAAATAATAATAATTCTGTAGAGGGAAATTACTCAAGGCAGAAGGATTAAAATTACCAGTCTTAATTAGTTTTATATTTCTACTGGGGAAAGAAATTGCTGTTTGGAAGCTGAAAGTATATGTTCAGCTCCTTGGGGAGCAGTAATGTATTTGGGGAGGGACAAGGAAAGGAGCAAAATAAATTATTGGTTTTCAGCTAAAGTTGCTGTATAGATTACACTAAAATAACAAAGAGTCATAAGGACCATTTGCTTGCTAATGGTCATGAAATTACATTCAAGCATAACTCTACTTGCAAAACTCACTTGGAAAAAGTGGGCAGGGATACTCTTAGACCTGGACACCCCATGGAGATCTGCTGCTTCAAATCGCACAAACTGAAGGTGGTTTTTGGCCATTTCTTGTTTAATGTGCTTCATTCTAGAGGAGAGTTGAGGTGTGGTTGGAATCTGAATGCTGTCCCTGCCGTTATCTGTAAGACAGAGAATGGTTCAAGAGCCTTAGATTATTATGATTTGAGAAGCAAAATGAGGCTAGAAAGTAGTGAATTTTTCATTATGGTTATTGACAAAAACATCATGCAGAGAGTGCCCAAAACATGTATACACATTTTAAGTAAGGAAAAAACTGCTTAAAATTGCAATAATATGCACCAATAACAAAAAATGAATAC